GGGGGGATTTATGGAGGATGAAATTTGTGCGCTGCATTCGAGGTATTTATGCATGTGTGTATTCGTATAGTATGCATGTGTGGGTGAATGGTGAATGCATGCAAGTTGTATGTACTATATATGTATGTATGTACGTATTCCGAAAAGCAACTGCAAAATAATAATAAAGCATTTTCGCACATTGCAATGCTGACTGACTGGCTGTAGCCTTGCGTTCGGTTGCTTGTAGTGCTCTGCCAATATTTATACATACGGATTTTCGTTGCCATTTGCGCACATGGCGCTTAAAATCGGCAACAACATGACAGTGTCAGCTGTGGCATTAACAGCAACAACACAGCTATGCAGCTACATGCAACATGCACGGCACTGTATCATAATTGAGTAGCGGAGTTGTAAAAATTGCACTTGCAACCAACAGCTGCAACATCAGCAATGCAGCCGTGAATGAAACATTGAGTGAATGTAGGAAATGGATGACGCCAAGGTGGCTTTGTGTGTGTGTGCATGTGTATGTGTGCGTGGATATTCTGCTTTTTCTTAAAATTCAGGCATTTACATTCCTTTCAAAATGCAATAACGTACTAATATATACATACATACGTTGGTAAGTACATAAATTCGTACATTCATTCGAAGAATTATATAACTACGCTGTCGATTTTAGTTAACCAAACAAAGTGGGTTGTTTTAAACTTAATGGATTGTAATGTAAAAATACTTATAGTGTGATACACAAGTTCCGGAACGCTACTGAAAAAGCGCGCCGTGTCGAAAAAAGTTTGTAACTAACCCTTTTTGTATGAGAGCTAGAAGAGTATTCATTTTCTTTATAATCATACTTTAAATCGCCGTTGCAACCCTTGCGGAAATATGTGCAGCAATTCCAGTTATCAGTGGTTTTTCAAAGTCAGCTGTATGAAGGAAAACAAAGTGGAACGGAATTAAAAAAAAAAGCTCATCAAGGGTTTATTTATAGTAAAATTGTTCGATTTTACATACTTTGAAGAAAATGACGGATTATATTGTATTTTCGATTATAGCAGCGGAGTAAATAAAAGAGCGGGCTATGGAATTGAATTCACTGAGGTATGCGTAGCTTTTTAATCGTAAGCTTTCTAATTCGCAACGGAACTCTCCGTACTAGTAGCTCTCTGTCTTCAAACTTAACTCCCTGTACTCTGTTGTAGCGACTTTATATATCTGCGCCACCCTTTTTTTAGTCAGTCTGCCTGCTTATTGGAATTTGGGGTACACTCCTATTGACGTTTCTCGATTTCGATGCTTTTACGTTCCGATCCCACACACTCGCTAGTCCAAACGCTACAGGCCTAATTATCCGGACCAATTTTGTTTTATCTAAAGGCCTTCCAATGGTTTGGACTCGATACACCATCATTTTTGCCGCAGCCTCCCAAGGAAATGTATACAAAAGTATCCACTTCTTTGTTTAAGGTATCCACGTCTTCTTCTTCTTCTTATTTGGCAGTACCACCGTTTGTCGGTTTGAGCCGATACCAAAAAGCTTCTTCAATTGCTTCTCTCCTGTGCCAATGTGCGCCAGTTAGTTATCCCGAGCGCAGACAGATCGCCCTTGGGCGCCCTTGCTTTCGTTGTCCACCCATGGGTGCGGAGTCAGGGATCTTTTCACCGGAGCGTCGTAATCCATAGGTACAACATGTCCTAGCCAGCGCAATCGCTGTGTTTTTATGCGCTTAATTATGTATGTCCATGTCGTTAAAAAGCTCATACAGTTCGTCAATCCATCTTCTCCGATACCCGTCACTCAGTGTGTAATTTCGGCGATTAAGGGGAAGGAAAATCATAGTGCCTACAATTTTGACTCTAGAACTTTTTTTTTGTTTTTTAGTTATGTTCTTCTAATTGAATGTATAATTACGATTTCGTTAAAATTTTCGGAATGTATTAGATTCATAGTAAGGTGTAAAGTATTTACAAAAAATAGTCCCGCTAGATGGTGCTTTAGTTGAACTATTGACTAACATGATTTAATTTCTAATGTCTTCGCACTTTTTTTCTGGCAGTTTCCAACTTTTACAATAAATATAGTGTTTTAAAATGGCTGTACAAAAATTAAAACAAAAAAAAAAAAGAAATTTAAATAATTATTTGTGTTTCTTCTCATTGCCTCGCGTCTACATCTGCTATGGGCACTCGCACTGAACTTTCAGTCTTCTAGCATACGAGATCTTATCGCAGAGAAATTTTTGAACGTGGGCATTTCATCGCATACAATTTCAGGGTAAATAAATATGTTGTTATGTTTTATAAATGCCGCGAAGATTTTATCTTTTCTTCTTGGTTGTGCTTTAACGGCACTTCTCCGAATTACACCAATTCTTTCTTACTCGGAATTAGAAAAAAATAATATGAAAAAATTTTGTTAAACTTGATCTATATATGCGACAATTCTGTATAATTTTGTACAAAAATATGGTTCATTCAACAACAAAAAACATAAAACATAATTCCTAAACTTTGTGCAAAACTCGCGAAAATTCAGCAAATTTTCATGAAAATTTTCAACCTTTTAATCAGATGTTTTAGAATTTTTTCGAGTGTTCAGATTTGTAGCCCAATAAATTTTATTATAATAAAATGTAAGTTTTAAGTAGCTAGGAATTACTGTTGATTTTTGGCAATTTTTTTTCACGCAGTCTCTTCCATACGAACAATTTTTTTTCGAAAACACTTTATATGGAAAAAATACAAAACACCTTCATCAAAAAAAATCGCAATTTTTGACTAACTCCGAACTTGCATTTGATTAAAAAGTTGAAAATTTTGATGAAAATTCGCTGAATTTTCGCGAGTTTTGCACAAAGTTTAGGAATTATATTTGTATGTTTTTGTTGTTTTTGAATGAACCATATTTTTATACAAAATTGGCGGAAAAATATTAGATAAAAAATTGTGGCATATATAGTGAAAAATTTGCTGTGCCAATAATTTGTTGCGACAGTGTACATATTTTTAATAAACGAAAATATCACTTAAACACTAATATTTTGCTTAAAAAGTAGCGCGCGCATTAACCCACGAATCTTACCTTTTAAATCCAATTAACTTAGCCACAGCCAGTCGCCTTTAGCGAATCGACTCATTAGTGAATAAATGCCCAAATTGTTGGGGTCTGCACAAAATCCAGTGCAACAACAGAAAGCAAGCAGGACGATGCAACCAATTACTTAATGTGAAGCAGTTGATCGAGTTGAAAATGGCCAACGGTGTTGGGTGAAATGTAAGCGGTTATATCCGAATCGGAAAATTTGCTCCTAAAATTGTTTTAGCAAATTCGGAAACATGTATGTATGTGCATTCAAATGTACATCGATGACTACCTGGCCAGTAGGAAAATATTTGACACGAGTAGAAACATGTTTATGTTTATATTTGGTACAAAATTAAAATTTTTGAATAGGCTCCGGATAACAGATATCTCGTTGCAAATTCTTCGCTCTTAATTTGTTTTAAGAATAACGTTACCGCAACCCTGGGAAAGAAAGGAGACAATTAGCGAAGTTTTAGCGAAGGGGTGAGCTCCCTGATAAGCAAAAATGATTCAGGTAAAAAATAAAAATAAAAAATAAATCGGGCCTTTCCATGTATTTTCTTTAACATAAACTTTAACTGCACGCAAAAAAATTGCTTATTTAATTGAGATTTCAGAAAGGTGCCACTATTATTATTTCGAATAGAAACAAAATAACCGACCAATGACATGCTAAATAGTACAAAGGTACATTATTAGCTGCTCCTGACATTATTTTATTATACTTACCGGAATTCGGACTAGAGTCTATAACAATATTTTTTGTGAAGGATGGGTTCACGTGAAATAAAATATAAATGAGTTGTTTGAAGAAAAATGTATTCATTTATTGATAAAAAAATGCTCAAATCGGGGACCTTCTACTCTAATACAAGCTCGACACTTCTTAAGAAAAACGCTTCTAGAGTTTTTACACTCAATTGAGCTATCTCAGCAGCAGCTCAATTTATTTGTTCCCGCAAATGCTAATCGTTACGAATTGTTTCTGAATAAATTTTGTCTTTAAGATAGCCCCAGTAGACGAAATCTATTGGGTTTAGCTCTGGCGATCGAACTGGCCCGCATCGTTCAATCCATCGGCGAGGATAGATAAGTTTCGTCTAAATGAGCTCTTACTTTACGCCCGTAGTGAGCAGGGCGCCCATAATTTGTTCCCGTTTCGTTCTCTGTGAGAACGTTCCTGAGACTTTTGTTCCCAATTTGTTTTTCGAGAGAATGTTCCGGAAGATTTTGCTCCGTTTTTGGGAAAGTTCCCAGGTGACTGTTCTTATTTGTATAATATCCGTTGAGAACGTTATTGAAAATTGTGTTCTCACCTTCGTTCTTATGAAAATACTTCCGAAAGTTTTATTCTGATTTCGATTTGGGTTTTTTAGCATTCTTCAGAACAAAGCAGAGTTATCGGTCCCTCTAACATATTTAGAAGAACATAGAACAAAAATTAGACTTTTATACGAATAATTTCTGTTAGGCTCCACAAAATTACTGGAATCTTATAAGACATTAGCGACAGCTTTCAAAATATTTCAAGGCAAAGAAACATTTTGGAATATCTTTAACCTTTTTAGATTTTCAGCAAAAGTGTAATTCTTTATAATTTGTACTAACCTTATTTGGATCTAAACCCTTTTTAGTATACTGGACTAAAAAAACTTTCGTATCACATTCGCACATTTGTGGCGGTACTGATATGCAGTTTAGATAGGCCTTTCAAGATGGCCAACATAATCATGACATGGGCCCGTTTTAAGGTAGGCAGTGTCAACAGAAAAATACTTTAAGATATTAGGAATCAGCGAGAAAGACTAAAATTAATTCCAAAAATATAAATACTATTTACGTGCTGGTTTCAATAGAAAATTAAGAGAAAATTGCTTTCATGATACTGGTTATAAGTCAGAAGCTCCTCGATTTGGCTTCAAACCTTCTTAGTAGTGAATTTTTTGGTCATTAAAAGCCCGTTTAACTCGGTTCTTATAAACCAGACTTTATTTGAATTTTAACTTTGGTCCGAGGTTTGTAACTACCAGAAGAAGAAGATAATGTTTACTTAAATTATCGGAACGTCGATTTGAGTCGATTAAGCTATGTCTGTCTGTGTGTGTGAATGCAAAGTACTCTCTGGCGGAACTCGTGACACTGGTAAAGCCGAAGATTTCTGACACTGGCAGAGCCGAGGCCATACGACACTGGCGACACTGGAAAATTGCGAATATTCAGACACTCTATTGATTTTTTAGTGATGCGAAATGATAATAAAATATAGAATAAAAAAAAAAATAAACTAGTGTACATTATTTGATCGCATCTCTCAACTTTTTAATGGTGGAGGTAATCGCTTCGGAAATTTAAGCATTAATTAAGAAATCTAAGAAATTGTTTCGAATACCTTTCGGGTATGTCACATTTTTGCCCTTTGGAATATCAAACACTTTCGCCTACAATAACATTTTGGTTTCATATTTATCGTCAGCTTGTGGCAATCGACACCGACATGCCTAATGCATCTATCTACAGCCAAAAACAATGCTGGCGCCAGTTAATACAGAAACAACCGCTACAATGCCCCCTGTAATGCAAATGTACTTTCAGCAGCAAGTATAGTTTTTGGCGAAATCCTCCTCAAAATACACAGATCCTAGCTTTCCTAGCGATGCATGTGCGCGTGTGCCTAAATCTACCTATGATGCCCTCCCTCGCTCCTGCTTGTGCCAGCTAATGAGCAGCGTTTGCTGCCAGACAATAAAACGAATCCGTGCTTTCAATACTAAATGCGCTTACCACTGAGAAACCATTGATTTTGCTGGCTGCCTGGCTGCATGGCTCGACGTCTGTTGGTTGTCATTGTTGTTAGATACGCCCATTCTCCTTATTTCAGTTGAGTTCATTCGTTTCGTTTCGTTGTTATTTGGTAATGTCGTTGACATTTTTGGATTTCGTTGCATTGTCGGTTGTCGGGTTAACAGTACATACCGCTATCGCAGCTCTGGCTGTTTGTCTGCCTATGGGCCATAGAAAATTTGAATTGGCCTTTTTGAGTGCGTTTTGTAGTGATTTTCTAATTTCGATGATTTTGCATTTCATCGATTGTTGCCAACCGAGCATCAACAACAATAAAAGATTTGCATCAGCCGTTAGCTGTTGTAGGCTTAGGAGGTGCACACATATATGGGTGGGTATAAGTAAAATATGCCTAAATTCTGAGTGCAAGTGCATAAGCAGATACCTACATGGATACTCGTAGTTGGGAGCTTATTTCAGTCAGGCAAAATCGTGCACGTGCAGAATTTCGAATTGTTAATGAATTCATGTTTATTGAGCAAAATTGTGCAAAGTGCATACGTTAAGGCGTACGTGCGTTATGGAGTAGAGGTGCATTTTCTAATTCAAAATATGTACTTAATTTTTGTATGAAACTCTTTTAATACAGGCTTTATGGAAGTTTTAATTAATAACTCAATTGAGTATGGACCGAGTATGGACGAAATTCAGAAGCACCTGAGAAAGGTGCCACTATGAAAGCGACCTTCGAAATAACACAAACGGCAATAACGCAAAATTTGCTTTATTTCACTTTTAAATGGGAAATAATACCAAAATCTGAGTTTTGCTTTATTTCCAACAAAGGTTGGAAATAAAACAAATTTTGCCTCATTTCCCATTGCTTATTTATACTATTTGTAAAAAAAAAAAACAGTTTACTGACAGAAGGAAAAAGAACTTTGTTTATTCCAAAAATACAATTAAACCAAGGCACATTGAACAGGTAATATCAGTATAGCAGCTGATTTGATTTTTTTCAAATTATTTGTTCTCGAAAATGTCAAATATTTTACATTTGACTTTATTAATTTATTAATTTGTTAAATTTAAATTACAAATAACTTTACAATTTTCCATTAAAGCTAAAGAAGGTTGTAATGAGGTATGTCTGTGTACTTTACATGGAATTTGGAGCGTAGACAGGACAATGTTAAATATTTTTTTAGATGCACATAGTGATTTATCTGCAGATCGCAATACATATAAATTTAAATGTGAATTGAATTTGCAACGAATGTGAATTAAAAATAACAATGAAAAAAAAAAAACATACCATACATGACAGCTAACGGGTGATTTTTTTGAGGTTAGGATTTTCATGCATTAGTATT